AAACTCTGGACCTGCCTTAACATTCTTTAGATTCCTGGAACCCTGGATCTGTCTGTTCCTGCTTGGATCAGAACCCTTGGTTGGGCTACAGACTCCTGGATTCCAAAAAGGTTCCTGTCTGATATGTATCCCTGACCTGGATTAAATTCCTGCCTGCTCGCTGGGGTTGCTGTGTCAGAGACACTCTGGGCAGCTCCTTGTGTGGCAGCACATTTGGCAGTCCTTTATTCTGCCTTCCTTGTGGAGGATGGACTGAACTGTTAAACCAGGTAAGTGAGTCACTTTGATAATCATCTCCTGTCAGATGATTGTGGTCACTTACCTGTGTTTCTCCCTTCAGAGTGTCAGTAATTGGTCAATGCCTGCCCAATAGGTCTCTGGGTGCTCAGCACCCCTAAGCCTCGGATCCTAGAATCGCCCCCGGGTGACTGCATGGTACATTTTGCTTACATGTTTGAGCTGTTGTTTTTTTTTTTACAAAGTATTTCACTAAGGGTGGGCTTAACCCCCAATAAAACATCAATGTTTATGTGTTTCCTAATTTACATGCCAAAATAAAGTCCTTGATGGTAAGTCACCTCATGTCTGCTAGCTACTAGCTCAACTGTTTCGTGAGCCAACCTAGTTAAAGTGTGTGTGTGTGTGTGTGTATATATATATATATATATATATATATGTGGCAATCCCAAGCGACAGCAACATCAAGAAGAAAGAACACGAGAAGCTTGAGAAATACCAAGGACTGAAGGAGGAGCTAGAAAAGATGTGGAAAGTAAGAGCAGCAGTGGTGCCAGTGGTAATTGGAGCACTGGGGGCTGTGACCCCCAAACTGGGAGAGTGGCTACAGCAGATTCCAGGTAAAACATCAGAGGTCTTTGTCCAGAAGAGCGCAGTCCTAGGAACAGCTAAGATACTGCGCAGAACCCTCAAACTCCCAGGCCTCTGGTAGAGGACCCGAGCTTGAGGATGACACATACCACCCCAAGAGGGGTGAGAAAACAGTTATATATATGTGTGTGTGTGTGTGTGTATTTACATCCATATTTTCTTGTCCATGTTGCTATAACAGTGTAAATGACACGGGTAAATGTGGTAGTGAAGCTGTGCCCATGGGGGAATATTTGCAAACTACCACGTAAAAAAAAAAACAACAACAACAAAAAAAACTATGAAGAAGGCTGTAATATTACTGTGATATTGATCATGTTTTTCCCTCTCTGCCTTTCAGAGCAGAGAGTCTGTATGAGACTGAAACAGAAATGCTAGTAATCACAGTAACTCTCATTTCAGTGGAAAAGACATTGAGGTATTTCTAGACATTTAGAGTTGCATCGTGTTGGAGGTATTTTAATTTTTTTTTAAGTAGCTTTTTACCAATTCCCAATTCCCATAGCCCATTTTTGGGTGTGCTATAGCACCCTTAAATTTAATCAAAACTCCCCTTGACATGATTGCGGCCCTGGTAGCTGTTCTGAATTCTTACTTCATTCACTTGTCGTTACCCTCCCCTCTCTTTAATTATCATTGATCTTATTCACCTGCTCCCTCTACTATATATATGTTTAAGCTTAGCTATCAGGGCCAGATCATTGTGTCAGGTCCACAAATGGGCTAGGACAGCCCCTGCTAACTTATTTGACATAAGATCTTTACAGGTGCCTAAAAATCCATAATGTAATCCAAGGTCACCATACTCTGCCCGTAGATTGTTACATAGGCACCAGGGAGGATCATTTAGGCTTTATATAGAAGCAAAAACTTTAAATAGGTTGTGAGCAACATCAAATATATAAATATTATGTATTCTTTATAAACTTAATCAACACATGCTTTCTACTTTAGTTTGATTTCCTGATAAATCAATAAAACGAAGTTGTTTTCATTTATTTTAATAATTAAACCTATAGGTTTAAACAATTTTTCAAAATTAGGCGGCATGTCTTCAATTAATTCCAAGCCCCAGGTTTGTGCTTGTTTTCTTTTATACAGGGTAAGTTTCGAGATTTTGCCTCATCTTTCTCTGTAAAGTGATGGGGGTCCAGGGGTAGCCATTGCCACCCTCAGCCAATCATTGGCCACCCCTACTATTTATTTCCCTCTAATACAGATGGTGGCAAGAGTAATAATGTCATAGTCTTGGTTTTGTTATGTTTATTTAGAGTATTCAGTTTTACTTTGCTCCTTGTTTTAGTGTTTAATTATTATTTTGTTGTTTTCTTGTTGGTTCCTGTCTTCCAGGTTTTCTATTTGTTGTCCTCTGCTGCCCTCTTGTGTCCTCCATCCCTAGCTCTGTTTTCTGCTCTGTCCTCACCTGTTTCCAATGTTCTCGTTAGCCCTCTCTTTGTCTCTGTCCCCTTTAAAAGCCCTCCCTCTTCAGTTCCTGTTTGCTGGATCCTCGTCTAACGTCTGTCTGCTTACCTCGTCTCTCCCTGGCTCCTAGAGTTTGGTTTCCCCTGATGTCTCCTTGGTTCTGGTTTGTTTGTTATTTTTGTTGGATTTTTGATTCCTGCCTCCGTACCCGTGAACCTCATTAAACCCACCTAAATTCACCTCTGCCTACTTGCCTCTGCTTTTGGGTCTTCAATCCAACACCAAATCGTGACAAATAATCTCAAGTGGAATATTCAAAACTTTTTACATTTCCATATATTAACAATTAATTGACAACAAAAACACTGTGGTTAATTATGCACATTAATGTACTAACATTAAAAATGTAATGTACTTAATTTAAGCAGAAATAGATTTTGTGTTTTATAGGGTAAAGAGAAAATGATGTGTCTCTGCAAGTCATATAGGAGTCTTAAGTGAAATCATAAATAACTATTTTAATAAAAATGTATTAAATAATCAATTTATGCAGATATTAGTACTTGTAAATATAAATTTTATGCAGACTGATTATTGATAAAAGAAGGTAAGTAATGAAAATGGAAAAGATGTTCGCCCAAAAGTCAAACCTGAAAGAATTTTATCCACTATACCTTTTATTTAGAAAGCATGGATATATATGTCTATTTGTTAGCAAAGGCTGTGGGAAAGTATAGTTTTTCTTTATTTAGAAAATATGGATGTTTTGCTCGTTAATTTTCATGTTGGAACAGTGTAGATTGACCGTGTGGTTTTGGTGCCTATCAACTTTGAGCCACCCCTCAGTGTACATTGGTTATTGCCTGGACACCGTTATAAAAATTTTATGGCTATGCCTCTGTTCTACACCCGTTTAATCTTGCGCTGCCTTATATAAAAGTGCGTTTCTAAGAAGCTGCTATCGTAGCTATTTTAACATGAACAGTTTACATAACGAACCATGACAATCTTCATATCCTTTTTTTTATGATTTTCTCTCATTGCTCACTTTCCATCCACCAGTGTCCCCATCAAACCCCTTGGGGCCAGTTAAAGGACCAGTCCTGCGCGGCGTTCATTCTCGTTAATCGATGTAAAACACTGTTTACTTCTCTGGGGAGGTTTGAACCATAAACTGCCCTTCCATTTAATTAGTAGCTGTCAGCTTGGGTTCCAGAAGTATGGAAGTAAAACAGTCTCTTCGAAATCTGCCTTTTTTTTGTACACTGAATTTTAAACATTGAATTTTTTTACACATTGAATTCCTCACACTGAATTTTTATCTGGTGAAACTTCAGCTGCAGAAAATTCAGCTGCAAAAAATTTGCCTGCAAAAAATTCAGCAGCAAAAAAATTCGACTGCAGATGTTAGCTCATTTAGTCAGAAAAAAAAGGAAGTTTGCCACTGGCCATTTCTTCCAGATCAAACCAAAACCAAGAGCCCTGGCAGACAGGGGTTCTGCACTAGCGGTGATCGGCTCAGTTATTTCACCCAGTCCGATTAGATGAAAAATTCTAATGGCTGCCTATTAGAGATTAGTGACACCTGATGTTTTGTGATCATATCTATTTAATAAGAAAAACTCTTCATTCAAATTCATTTAGCGGGGAACAAACCTAATCCCCAACTGTTGTGTCACTTGACCAAATGAGCTAATTTCATTGGCTAAAAGCTGCTCGACTGCATCGGTTGTCGATTGCTTTGGCAAAACATCAACACATTTGCAGTTAAAGTTTTTGCAGCTTCATTTTTCTTCAGCTGAAGTTTTTTTTTGCAACTGAATTGTTTACAGCTGAATTTTTTGCATGCAAATTTTACCAGATATAAATTCAGTGTAAGGAATTCAATGTGTAAAAAAAAAATCAGTGTTTAAAATTCATAGTTAAAAAATTAAGTGTTTAAATTTCAGTGTACAAGAGGGGCAGAATCCAATGAGACTGTTTTTCTTCCATACAGAAGGACTCATTGACTTCTGAGACGCCCCAGTTCTCTCCTCTCATGATGATCTCTGCACTGAGCCTTAAATTCACTCCAGAAGCTCAGATAAAGGGCGCACTGGGTGTGTATAGAAAGACTAGGCTGCATCACTGTTACTATCTTTAGATACAAAAAAAGCCGGAAACTGAACGACTGTGGAGAATAAAATAAAATTACATCAATACGAATAAAAAAAAAGGAAAATGACAGATAAAAGTTGCCAATGAGTTTTACGTAAACGCGACAGCTCAAACATGTTACATTTATTTATTATTATTATTAATATATATATTTTAACTTCTAGTGCTCTTATTGTATTTGCCTCCTACAACTGAATTAAAAAAATCAATATTTATAAAAACAAAATATATTTCCGACCTAAATATATTTTTTTAAACCTGTAGGGTTTTAATTTGAAAGCCGCTTTCCGGAAGTGCAGTTGGCACCTTCTTCAAATTGATGCTGGCACGTCCCGCTGACGCGCAGAAGTCTGGATCGGAGGTTTGCACCTGGAAGCGAGTTTTTGAGTTGTGGGTTCCTCTCCAGGCAGGAGAAAAGAACCCATACCTCTTCCAGATGCAATAATATCAATATCTTTCCGTTTCTATTTTTACTTTCCCACAAATGTCTATGGGTTATAAATAAAAGACGCATAGATTTCTCTGAGCGCTTTTATAAAGCGGACGGCACCGGATGGATGAGCGGACGGGTGGAGTGATGCGCTTGGAATATTACTATGAAGTAAACTATTGAAGGAATCTGTTCTTGGATCTTTCTGATCTGTGAAAACAATCGCCAGTCTTGTAGATCTGATTACCTGCTATGCGTCTGGTGTGGAGAATACCTGGCGGAAGGTGTGCAGCGGGATCCAGCCTGACAGGACACAACTTCAGCATCTGATAACCTGAAAGCCCCCGATTCACATTCGTTTCGCCCCATTTTTTTTTTATTTTGATTTTTTTGCAATCGTGTGCGTGATGCGCGTGGAATGAGAACAGATGATGGATATAATTTGGGAGATATTGATCATTCTTCAAGCGAATGTGATCGTGTGCGTATCAGGTGAGTCGTTTGCGCCTTTTCGGGCTTGTGCAATCACTACATATAGACACGCATTTAAGCAAGAGATTATGGGACTTTTCGGGTTGCTGTTGGACGTGGGGCGCAGTAGATGCGTGTGTTGGATAAAGACTCCACTGGAAAAGCGCTTCTGGATGCACTTGATGCCCTCAAATTTCGTTGCAGTTCATGTTCTTTGTGTTGCTTAAAGCATCAGCCACTCCGCATGTGTGCCAGTGATTGTTAAGATGGAATAAAACCAGCACTATGTGTATTTTTTTCAGTTTCCATGACTGGATGCACAATATTTGACGATTGATCGTCAGGTGTGGACTTTAAAATGCCCGAAAATTCAAATAAAATGTTTTGTTTAGAGTATATTTCTCTTCTTCTGGTTTTATAAACCCTCCCTCTGGTCCGAGTGAAGCCTTTGCACTCCGGAAACTTCTTAGAAAGGAGCTTACGCACTCTGCAGTGTTGTTGCGCTGTAGATTTCACCGTGCGTAACGGTTTTCTGTAGGCATGATGATGAAGCGTCTTTTGCTTTTTTTTTCCTTTCTGGTATCTCTGATGTTCAGTATGATTGCACTTTTAATGGGTCTGTTCATTAGTAGACCCCTGGATGCAATGATGACTTCTAACTTTTACTGTTGTTGAAAATGTTGAAATTGGAAATGGGCTATAAGACAGGTGGATATGTTCAGAGGTTCTAAATGACGCAAATCTGGGAATTAAATGGTAACTCGTGCGTATATCTGTCTGTGCATGGTATAATTTCTGTTTATTCTCCGGGGGATGGTGATAAAAGAAATACATAAAAAATCAAGTATGACTTGCCCCTCCCTGCTGCTTGTCTATGTGTTTCTATTATTCCTTTTGGTTAATTATTCAAATCCTTTTCCATGCTATTTTTCATTAATTTAAGGAAGTTGTTTGGTGAATATCACTTTTTCATCTTCATCCTCTTTCTTCTTTCATTTGTTCATTTTAAAAATGTTATTCTTATTTTTTGCATTTGCTTTTATTTGTAAAATTAGATTCAAATGTAAGATATTTGTCTCAGTTATAATTATAAATATCAAAGCTGAACTCAGCTTCTTTAGATAGGGGGAAAAAAATAACAGTCTGATCCTCTCATTTATGAGCGTCATTATTATATTTATTGATTCCATATCAATGACATTTGTGGAAAAGCCATGAATGAATAATGTAAAACTGCAGTAATCCAACACAAATAAAACGGATGACATACTGTAAAGGTCGTGGTCTCATATTGTGTTAACAGTTTAAAAGCTTGAGGCATTAGTCTGTGATGCAGGCTGATGGTTCTGCTTTTGATGTGGTGCTGCTTGTCTGATGGCAGCAGTTCAAGAAGCTCAGTGTGTGTGTGTGTGTGTGTGTGTGGGGGGGGGGGGGGTATTTATTACATAGAGGGACATTTTTCCATAAATCTTAGCACACAGAGCTCTAGAGGGGACCAATGTCTGGTCCCTATTGGTACAAATTCTGTTTTAGGCTTAGGTGTTAGGTTCAGGACTAAGATGTGAATGGAGTTTAAAATCAGGGTTAGAATCAGGGTTAGGTATGAACCAATAATGATCACACATCTAAGATATTTGACTTCACAGAATCTGAATTTAATCGCTTGTTTTGACCTGATAATAATATGTTGATGTAAACAATAATACTGCACTTGACACAACTTAAAATCTTTGCCCTGTTCCAAATGATTTTATGAACATTTCAGTTGATGAACCAAACTAATATATTGACGTCGGACAAACCTAATATACTTACTTTTAACTAAATTAACAAGAATTATTGCTTGTATAGAAACCAGTTAATTTAAATCTAACCAAATTAGATTTTTCACATATGAGAATTTAGACAAGCCAATAAACCTAAAAACCATGTTTTTGGATTGTGGGAGGAAGCCGAATTACCTGGAGACAACCAAAAGAGAAATGCAAACTCCATACAGAAAGATCCTGGGTCGGGATTCGAAGCGCTAGCCACTGAGCCACAGTGCAGTTCAAATTTGATCCAAACAAAAAAAATTACCTGCAGGCCATGAATAAATATATACACATTCAGAGAAATCAAAAACTTTGTTTTGGGTCCTTTCTACTAGGGCTGTGAATCTTTGGGATTCCCACGATTCGATTTAGAATCGATTCTTGGGGTCACAATTCGATTTTTTTTCGGATTCTTTTAAATCCAAATGATTCGAATCAGAAATTCAGAAATAATTTACGATTCAAAACAATTCTCAGGATCTATTACAGTCTGCTGGCATGAAAAAAAGAGTACATTTATAAAGACTTTATAATTGTAAATGTTTTACAACATTTCGAGATGAGAACGGGGATTTGAAGTACTCCCGAAATACTTAACTTTACCATTGCAATCTCTGCAAATCGCATGAGTCATGTCAAGCCCTTTCTTACCCGGGAAGGGTTGAAGGTAAAATCAGAAGTGTTTCCAAATGGTTGCTTTTAAAGACTGCAGAGGCGATTGAATTTCTTTTTCTTTGTCCTCCATAGTTTAGCGGCAACAAACACAGTAGCTCACACAACACTACACACCACTCTGTAGCCTGCTAGGCTAACGCTGGCATGCCTGTGCATAGCTCACACTGTTCATTGGTTTCGCCAAACACTACGGTGCCTGATAAGGCACATCTGCACCCACAAAAAAAATATTTTTTAAAGAAAATGAGAATCGATTCTGAATCTTTAAATGTTAGAAACGCAATTTGAGCTCAAATAAATTTTTTTCTGCACCCCTACTTTCAACATGTATTTACTTCAGGTTGAATCAAACTTGATGTCTCAAAATAAAAAAAAAATGATTTACATAATCAAATCAATAATTTTATCTAGTTTAGAGTGAAAGGCATTAGTTTGCATGAGCAATTACATGTTACACTTTTTTCAGTGTGTGTGTATGTTTATTTTACATATGTGCTAGCATCTTGCAAATCAGTTCTCAATTTCCATTATATATTTTTATGTCTGGAAATATGATTTATACAAAAAAAAATAAAATTAAATGCAGTTCTGTGGAAAGGCTCTTTCCCATGTTTTTAGTTTGAGGTTCTAATGGTCATCATAGAACATTATATATATATATATATATATATATATATATATATATATATATATATATATATATATATATATATATATATATATACATATAAATAATTTCACTAAATAGCTAACTTTATTGCGTAATCTCTCTTCTAAGAAACAAAGACAAATTCTAGGTTTAGTATAACTGAGAAAATCAATGTTCCATTGAATAAATAGAGGAATAAATAAATAAATTTTTAGAATCTTACCATATAGGACTTATTTAAGGCATCACTTATAGGAGAGCTAAAATAATTGCTGAACACACTAAATATAATTTACATCAAGAATAAATAAATAACAGGTGGTCTTTTTGGAGTGGCTGGATCCTCTGAATCTGTGCCTTCCTTCTCTCTCTCTCTGAGGATGGAACAAGCAGTTCCATCTAGAAATATGTTGCCATTGCGGCTGGTTTCATTACTTACATATTCACATACAAAGATAAATACATGATGTATATATTTTATTCTTTGTTAAATTCATGTTTAATTTGAAGCTTGTGAGAAAACAAGGGAAGATAGGGGGCAGTGGGGGATTTGGTCTCTCCTTCAGGGGGGCAGTACCATCCTCCCCCCTATTAGTTAAAAAATTAGGTACCGTATTTTCACGACTATAAGGCGCACTTAAACGTCTTTTTTTCCCCTCAAAATGTGCGGTGCGCCCTTTGGTGCGGTGCGCCCTATGTGTGTTGTAACTGCAACTTTTGAGACCACCTCATTGAGGAGATGATGAAAGAGTGAATGAATGTAAGGAGACCAGGTGTTTTTTTTTTCCACTCATCACCATCGCTGTTAATATGTAACCATGCGTGCCCATCTCTGATGTGAAAAACATGGGGAAACAAATTAACACTGTGCTCGCTGTTCAACCGCTCGACATCGGTGTGAACCGGACCCAGCAGGTGCAGCAGAAGCAGCGAGTTTACATGCAAAGTCAATGGTTGACGCATGTATAGGTGCAGCAAAAGGTCCCGCAGCGTCTGACGCACCGCCAACGCGCTGCTGCTGCTCGAGATGGAAAAATTGAAGTTTTGCTGCTGGACGCTCCGCATCAACCAATCAGAGAAGCTGATCTGGGAGCTGACAGCGAGACAGACACAGCGCTCTGATGACATATGAACGCAAATGAAAAAGGCTGGATGGATGAGAAGATGATGAAAGGCAGGTGTATGTGAGGAGACCAGGTGGTTTTTTCCACGCATCACCATCGCTGCGTGCCCATCTCACAGCCGATGTGAAAAAAAAAGGTGAATCAAATGAACGGTGTGCTTGCCGTTATCCCGGGGGGTCTGACAAAGGAACTTCAACCGCTCGACATCGGTGTGAAGCGGCCGTTCAAAGTAAGGCTGCGAGCGGCGTGGGAGCGATGGATGACAGACGGAGAGCACAGTTTCAGGATAAGTGGAAGGCAGCGCCGGGCAAGTTACGCCACAGTTTGCGGATGGATTGTAGATGCTTGGACTAACTTGTCTGCTGGCTCTGTTGTTCAAGCTTTCGCAAAAGCCGGCATTATTTCTGAGGAGCCGCGCTGCACGGAAAGTGACTGACAGCGAAGAAGGGGAAATTGGCATGTCTGATTTAGCGCAGCTGTTTAATTCAGAAACAGAGGATGATGACTTTGATGGGTTTGATTAATACTTTGTAATAAATACATGAATAAAGCACAATCATACTCAGTTTTGCTCCCGCTCTATTTTTCTACCTGAAAACTTAATTCAACAGCAGCCTCTGGGCCGGGTCTCCTCCTCTTCACCGCGGTGGCTGGCAGGTGTTTTTTCATCTAAATAATCTAAATCTTGCAGCTATATTTGCTGTGATCAGTGGGAATAAAGTAGTTTTAATATGTTTTTAAGTGAGAAAGTCCACCTGA